ATGGTATCTGCATGCTCTTTTAATGTGCATTTGCTTGATTTTTACTGAAGTTACATGTTTTCATCCATTTATTGACCCTTTCTCTCTGTCCTTCAGTTACATCTCTGCTGGTTTCTTCTGCGCATTTTTCTCCTGTGTTTTGATGGGCTTCTAAGAGCGTCTTATTTTTTTTAAGCATATTTATTTATTTAATTTATTTATTGCTGCGTTGGGTCTTCGTTGCTGCGCCCAGGCTTTCTCTAGTTGCGGCGAGTGGGGGCTACTCTTCCTTGTGGTGCACAGGTTTCTCATTTTGGTGGCTTCGCTTGTTGCAGAGCATGGGCTGTAGGCACGCGGGCTTCAGTAGTTGCGGCATGTGGGTTCTGGACTTCTCCAGTGGCATAGTGGTTAAGAATCCACCCACCAGTGCAGGGGACACGGGTTCGAGCCCTGGTCTGGGAAGATCCCACATGCCGCAGAGCAGCTAAACCCGTGTGCCACAACTACTGAGCCCGCACTCTGCAACTACTGAAGCCTGCATGCCACAACTACTGAATCCCGTGCGCCTAGAACCGGTGCTCTGCAACAAGAGAAGCCACTGCAATGAGAAGCCCGCTCACCACAACGAAGAGTAGCCCCCACTCACCACAACTAGAGAAAGCCCGCACGCAGCAACGAAGACCCAATGCAGCCAAAAATAAAAATTAAAAATTATAAAAAATTTTTTTAATGTTCTTTCTAACATTTCTTTGCCAAGATCTTTCCCAGGTTTTTTTGCTTGTTTTCATTCTTTTTTTTTTCTTACACAGATTTTGTGTAAAATCGATTAGCCTTTTCTTTAAGTCTCCCACTGTTACTAGGCTTATAAATCCTTGCATACCCAGAAATCAGATCAACATTTAGTGAAATATCTTATTTCTTCCTACTTTGAGGTTTTTCACTTAACACCTCTCCATCTGGAAAGTACATGTGTAGCAAAGTGAAGGTTTGATTCTTTTCTCTCCCAAAAGACAATATTCCCAGGCAGCCTAGAGTGTGCAAAAGGGCACAAGATTAACTTCCAGCAGCTCAGGAATCAAGACATATTGGGGGAGTCATTCCCAGGCTCTGTGCCTTGGTTTCCCCTCTGGGAAACAAGTTGGTTGCCCTGGAGCATCTCTGGCATTCTAGAATTTAGTGTTCTCAGGTCTCAGGTCTGAATGGAATGCTTTAGACAGAAAGCACCATCCCCTGGTCACCAAGGAAGGGCTCCCTGCTCTGAAGCTCACCTTCTGCCACATGGTCCGGGTGCAGCTTGTTCGCAGGGCCGTGTGCTGCCACGCCAGGTACTCATCCACACGGGCTCGGGCCTGCAGGTCCTGGGGGTACCAGTGGTCGGGGGTCTCATACTTGCGGGTCAGATACAGCAGGATGGCCACACTGGGGGACACGGTGGGTGCAGGGGGACATGCCCCAGTCACTCTTTAACCATTCCACAGGGGCCAGGCCCTGGGTGAGGCCGGTCCCTGCTCCTCACACATCTTTCCCCAGCTCCTGGGGGTGGAACATTTCACTGTTTCTGGTACAGAGTAGGAGTGTGAGGCTCAGAGAGGTTAAGTGACAGCCAGGATCACACAGCTCTATGTTGGGCCATCCTATCATCAGAACTAAGGGCACCAAGTGAAAAACAAAATGTCATGTGATTTCAGAAAGTGGATGTATGCTCAGAGAAATCTCCCATGAGGAAGCAGTGCCCAACATGTGTCCCGAAGGATGAGAGTGACTCCAATACCATTCTCCAACATCTCCAGGGCAGGGACAGCAACAGGAGGAAGACCAGGCGCCCCTCCCAGCCCTGGGCAGCTCTGCTGACTTCAATCCACTCTCCACCCTCGGGCTGGTAAGGGGCTCAGGGCACAGAAGCCACGATCCGAGCCATCAACGGTGGACACACAGATGGCTGACTGGTGCAGCCAAGGGACCCGTTACCTCTCGGCCAAGGTGAAGTCCCCGTCCTTCAAGGCGGGCACCTTCCTCAGGGGGTTCACCTGGGCAAAGTCATCGCTGTAGTGCTGGCCTGTGGGAGAGACCAGTGAGGCAGGTGGGGAGAACTCTGAGCCCTCTGAGGTCTCTGCCCACCCCCTACCCCAATGTCCAGGCACCAACTTTCTGAGGCCTCCATCCAGGTGGGGCATCAGAGAAGACGAGGCCACTCTGCTGGTCAGCGGATCATACACGCTGAGCCTGCCAGAGGTCCCCCCTTCCTGTGTCCACTCGCCCCACCTTGGAACCTGGGTCAAGTAGCATCTCAGCTTGGACTTGGGAGGAGGGTGATTCACTGCAGCTGTAATCCACCCCAGCCCCAGCCAACTCCATCCACGCATCACACACTCTAGCCTCCTCCCTGGGCTCTAGCCTTGTCCACTGCAGTCCCCCTCTCTATGCAAACTGGGTGACCTGTCTACACCCCAGAGTTCCAGCCACACCTGCTCCCGGCCCTCAGCAAACCTCGCTCTCACCAGCAATACCTGCCCGACTCAGCCACTCAACCTCCTGCAGGTCAGCTCCTCTTTCTTTCTTGTGCCAAACCTTCAAGGCTCCTCCCCCACAGGGGTTCCCATGTCTGAATCACATCTGCATACCTCCCTGTCCCGGGCCAGTGCAGACGGTACACCAAGTAATGTATGTGGAGTCGGAGGGCTTCAGTGGAGCCGGGATCCAGCCTGGCCATACGACCGCCTGTGGGCCTCTTTGCCCTTCTACTGCATGGACGGAATCACCCCTACCCATCCTCCCTCTAGAAATTGCCTCTGTGCCCAGCCCCACCCCAAGGAGCATTGAAAAGTCAGAGCAAGCTGGCATCAAAGCAGCTGGTGGCTCACGCTGGGGCACCAGAGGCAGAAGGTGGGCAGGCTCGGCCAAGCAGGGTCTCCCTCCGGGTCTGCCAGAGGGGCTCTGAATCCAGAGCTTATCCTACTGTCCAGTTACAGCCCTGCCCCCTCCCCGGATTCTGTGTAAGTGGAGGGGACCTAGGCAGGCATAGGTAGGAGTAAAGAGGAGACCAGATGCAGGTGTCCAACCTCCTCCTGCCAGCAGACCCAGAAACTCAAGAGATGGGGGCTGCTTCCACTGGGAATGAGGAGGCAGTTCACTGTTTTCTCCAAGCCCAGGTGTGGAGGTGTTGGAGCTGTCACTCCACTTCCCGCGGCCCCACACCCCCACTGCTCTCTACCTGCTCTGCTCCTTCCTAACCTGTATTTTGAAGAACGGTTAGTATTCACTAAGCAAAGGTAAAGACTCTGAAAATACACAACTTATAGGCGAAGCCACGGTTTCCGACTGGAGTCTGTCTCTTGCCGTCTGTCTGCGCAGGCCGCCTGACCGTGGGGCCCCGGGAGTCCGTGTGCACACAGGGGCCCAGACCCCGGGCCTGCCTGCCGGGCCCACCTTTGAGCAGGTCCACGGTGCGCAGCTCGAAGGGGATGCCGTTCTTCTTGGCGAAGATGTAGACGGCGCGGCAAGGCTGGGACAGCAAGTCCAGGTAGAGCTGCAAGCCCATGGCGAGGGCGGGGGTTAGGATTAGTGCAGGACTGGGGCAGAAACGGCGGCAGGGGCGGGGACCACCGGCTACCCAGCCGGCGGCCGCGCGCAGCCTGATTAATCGAGCCGGGCCGCGCCTTCCCCGCCCGTTGGATGGTGCCGGAGAACTTTGGACCAATCAGCGGCGGCCTCGCTCTCCCGCCTTCCCTCTCAGGGGTTCTGGGCTGGGGTCCCCTCCCTGGTGGGGAGGGTACAGGGAGACGGACTCCTGACAGTTTCTCGCCGCCAGGTCAGTCCCCTAACCCGGACCTCAATGTCTACCTGAGTCAAATGGGGCGGGGGGATGATACTGGGGGGACGACGTTGAGGGCGCTTCCAGCGCACTCAGTGAATTTAGAGTCGAAAGTGTTGGCCCAAGCCACCTTCTCCCACTCGCGGAGGGGGCTGAAAGAGGAGGGACTTAAGAGTCCCCAGGAACACAAATAGAGGAGGAGAAAGGAGGTGCCACGGCCTCCCCTGGGCCCACTGCACAGGGTGGAGGCTGGGGAGGGCGTGTGGACCTCTGCACCCAGCAAAGACTAGGTCCACACCTCAGGAAGCCGCCCCTCCCCAACCTTCCTTACACTCCCGGCTAATCCCTCCAGCAAAGCAGAAGCCCTGTGGGGCCCATCTAGAGGTTTGCAGGGGGGCCTGGAACCTCCCCACTTCCTTTGCAGGGCCAAACCCCTCCAACTACAACCCTGGAGCTCCTGAAGTCTGTGGCTATGATGCCCTCATTCTCTAAGCAAGCGTCCTGGATAAAAAACCCTGTCCCCAAACCCAAGACTCAGAAAAAGCCCCTTGGCAAGAGGATCGGTTACTGCAAAACTTGAGAATAGCTTGGCCTTCCTGGGCCCCAGGCTCCCAGTTTAAAGAAGACCTATCCCCCCAGGGCGGAGCCATGTTCTCCACCCCCTCCAGTGGATTGCCCTCCTCCACAAGTCACCCTTGGCCGGATTACTGCAATATCCAAATCTCCCTGCTTCCTCCCTGGCCACCGTCCAGTCCAACCCCCAACAGCAGGCAGAATATTATTCTAAAATGCAAGCTGAGCATTCCGTTCCTGTTCATGGTTTGCAGCTCCTAAGTGTGGCATTTAAGGCCCCTCATGACTGAGTCCTCACCAGGAGAGCTGCTGTTTGGATTTCCCCTCCCGACCAATTCCTCAGGACAGATGCAGGACTTGTGATTTACAATAATTGGTGCCAAAGGGCCACGTCCTGGGTGACTGGCCCAGCAAAGTGATAGCTGGCATGCCTACAGCCAACACCAGTGGACGCCCGATACCTCTGCTGTCTTTCTCTAAGAACTAGAAGGCAAGGGGGCATTTGTTAATTTCACTCTTGACACCCATCAGGGGGAAGCTGATCCATGGGGCCTAGGAAAGGGGGTTGTCTTTCGAATAGAGGCCAAGACCAAGGTCAGGACAGAAGGAAGTTCAAATAAACCACACGTCAGAGTTAGAAGCAGAGGCTCAGGCTGAGCCCAGGTTTATTTCCCAAACTGAAAAGAAGATGCAGTGATTAAACGAGACAAGGTCTGGGTATGCCATTCTCATCGTGGCTTTTAGGCAGCTGTGGAAGATGAGTGGGGACCTGGCCCAGGGAGCAGAGGGGCAGTGGGACTCAGGCAAGTCACGCCTGCTCTCTGGGTCTGCCTCCCATGGGACATGGAAAGGAAGGTGCTTTGTGAACTGCCAAGGGCAGAGCAGAGGCTTCCCGGCTCACTGGATCATGGACAGCACCCTAGGCATCAACTTCCGCTTAATGGTGGGGTCTGCAGCCTGGGAGTCCTTGGCCTTCAGGATGACCTCATGGGCCTCCTGGAAGAGGACCTCCCCCACTGCCGCCTCCACGCGCTGATGCCACGCAGCCAGCTTGGGTCGGCCTTCAAAGACTCGGCAGCCGGCACCCACAGGCTGTAGGGAGACAGGGGACAGGATGAGACAGGGTGAGGCCAAGTATGGCAGCATCTACTTGGTCTGGAGGCCACAGAACCCCAGACGGTTTCTACACATAAGCACAGTCCCACGGCCAGGTGAGGCCGCGTGAGCAGGACTTCAGCAGCCACCCAGGACCTCCCCTGCCTAGTCCCCCCAACAACTGCCCACTCACATTCATGAGCTCCGTGATGGCTATCAGGTCAGCCAGAGAGATGTGGGACCCAGCGAGAAAGGCCTTGTTCTGGAGGAACTTGTCCTCAAGCACCTGCAGGGTCACGTCCAACTCTGCCAGCGTGGCTGTCAGCATCTCGGGAGAGACCGGCTCACCCAGGTAAACAGGGAGCATCACCTGGTGGGTGGGCAGGCAAAGTGGGGGGTTAGGACCCAGTCCAGCCTCAGGGGCAGGAAGGCAAGTCTCCCTGCCCTTAGAGCTGCCTCCTGGTTCCATGCATTTTTTTTCCTACAGGGAAATTCCTAAAGGACTCCTTTTCCCGGAACTATTCCTGCTCCCACAATCTGAGCCTGGGGCATCTGACAGAAGGACTCAAACCCCTTTGAGAATGACTCAGAGGGGACCTGAACAATGAGTTTCATACTTTGGGGGGAGGGCCTGGCTTAGGAACAATTATTTTATAACCTCTTTCCCCCAGATTATAAAATCAGTACCTCATACAGTATAATTAGGAGGATGGGCTTTTAAGGTCTCAACTTTGTTGCTTATAAACTATGTGAACTAGAGCAAAACACTCAAACTCTCTGAGCCTCGATTCCCACATCTGTGATATGGGAATAATAGTACAGGGCTCATCTTGTAAGTGGAAAAGTGAGGCCCAGAGAGAGACAGACAGTTGCCTGAGACCACACAGCCAAGAAGAGACTAAGCCAAGCGTGGAACTGACGTCTTCTGACCCAGGGAGCTGCCAGGGACTAGAGAGAAGAGCCAGGAAAGGGTAGCGTTCAGGATTCTGGGAGGAGGGCATTTGGGGTGAAGCCATCAACAGCCTCAGGCTTACCAGAGCTGTCAGGGAGACACAGTGGATGTGGAGCAGGGGAGGGAGCTTCATGTTCAGTCTGGTGTTTTGTTGGGTAAAGTTGCTTGGGGAGCCTGGGACTCTGGAAAGGTAAACAGGACTAAGATTGTGCACAAGCCCTGGTGGCTTCTGTTTCCTCCCCCAAACAACAAGGTAGACAGGGTCAGTGATCACCCACCAGTGGCCTGGAGGCCAGTGCTGGGCTAATGACATCCCTTTGGCTGCAGACTTTTTTTTTTTTAGAAGATGTTGGGGGTAGGAGTTTATTAATTAATTTATTTATTATTTTTGCTGTGTTGGGTCTTCGTTTCTGTGCGAGGGCTTTCTCTAGTTGCAGCGAGCGGGGGCCCCTCTTCATCACGGTGTGCGGGCCCCTCACTATCGCAGCCTCTCTTATTGCGGAGCACAGGCTCCAGCCGCGCAGGCTCAGTAGTTGTGGCTCACGGGCCTAGTTGCTCCGCGGCATGTGGGATCCTCCCAGACCAGGGTTCGAACCCGTGTCCCCTGCATTAGCAGGCAGATTCTCAACCACTGCGCCACCAGGGCAGCCCCTGGCTGCAGACTTTTTAAAACTATGGATCACTTGCTGACATTTAAAAGTGGAGACATTTCATATAAAAATCCTGAACTTTCCAGCTTCTTTTTAACATAAAGGTGCTGGCCACACAGGGCCAGCATTCCTACCTAGCCACCAGCACAGCATCTAAGGCTGCTGCTGGGGAGAAGCTGCTCCTTGGTGGGGGAAGCGGGAGGGTGGGGGGAACAACGGCTCTTAGTTTGCCAAACCCCACATAAGTCCACCTCCCGTGTATTCTCTGCCTCACCCCAGCAGCAGACTGTCTACATTTCCCTTCTGTTCCCATGGGGTGGTTCCAAAGTTCTTAGGGTTTTAAAAAGTGTTTTTATTCCTCTTTAAATATAAAAGACCATAAGAGGGTAATAAATAAATTCTGATTTATTCTTATCAGGAAATGCTATACAGTAGTTAGAAAAAAATAAATTAGACCCACCCATAGCACTATGGAAAAATGCAAGTTCCAGAATGATATGAGAGCATTTATATAAAATTGTAAGCACTCAAAGCAAAACTTTATTTTTATGGCTACACATAAATGTAATAATGTAGAAAATCGTGAACTGAAAGGACTTGAACCAGATCCTGGGGAGCAGGGGGCACCTCAGGAAGGTACAAGGGCAACAAAGAGGTCTTTTGACTTTTGTTCTCTAATGTTTCCTTTTTCATATAAAAAAATGATAGAAGACACAATAAAACTCATGACCCAGAATTAGCCATACACTTTCAAAAATGAGGAGTGCTTCTGATGAGGATATGACAGTCACAAAAAAGCCACTGCTCCCACCATAACACTGAAAAGAAAATAACCTTATTTTTCTTTAAAGTCTTCAAAGAATATAGAACTTTAAAAAAAGGAAAATAAAAGAAAGAACAAAAAAAGAAAGAAAAAAGCCTAAACCTGTTCTGTCCAATATGGAAACCACTGGCAACGAGAGGTTACTGAGCTCTTAAAATATGTCTCGTCTTAGGTGAAATGTGCTGTGCATGTAAAATACACACCAGAAAACAGACACAGATGAATGGAACAGGATAGAGAGCCCAGAAATAAACCCACGCACTTATGGTCAATTACAACAAAGGAGGCAAGAATATACAACAGAGAAAAGACAGTCTCTTCAGTAAGTGATGCAGGGAAAACTGGACAGCTACATGTAAAAGAATGAAATTAGAACATTCTCTAGCACCATACAAAAAGATAAACTCAAAGTGGATTAAAGGGCTTCCCTGGTGGCGCAGTGGTTGAGAGTCTGCCTGCCGATGCAGGGGACACGGGTTCGTGCCCCGGTCCGGGAAGATCCCACATGCCGCGGAGCGGCTGGGCCCGTGAGCCATGGCCGCTAAGCCTGCGCGTCCGGAGCCTGTGCTCCACAACGGGAGAGGCCACAACAGTTAGAGGCCCCTACCACCAAAAAAAAAAAAAAAAAAAAAAAAGGATTAAAGACCTAAACGTAAGACCAGGAACAGTAAAACTCCTAGAGGGAAACATAGGCAGAACCACTGAGGGGCACTTAAGTGTCATTGTTGATGGACACTGGGGTTGCTTCCACAGCTATTGTGAATAATGGCTATTGTGAATATTGCTGCTATGAACATCTCTTCGAGACCCTGCTTTCAATTATTTTGGGTATATACCCAGAAGTGGAAGTGCTGGGTCATGTGGTAATTGTATTTTTAATTATTTTGAGGAATCATCATACTGTTTTCCACAGCAGCTGCACTACTTACCATTCCCATCAACAGTGCACAAGAGTTCTAATTTCTTCTTATTCTCACCAACACTTGTTATTTTGTTCACATATATATATATACATATATATATACACATATATATATGTATATATATATATGTAATAGCCATTCCAGTGGGGGTGAAGTGGTATCTCATTATAGTTTTAATTTGCACTTTCCTAATGATTAGTGATACTGAACATATTTTCATGTGTTTATTAGCCAAAATTTCACTATTTTGAGTACACTGGCTTAAGTAAAATATAGTCATTTCAACTGTTTCTTTTTACTTTTTAATGGTGGCTACTAGAAGATTTAAGACTGCATATATCTCACTTTGTACTTTGGTGCAGCACTGGACTAAATGAACTAAATTCCAGAGGGCACGAGCCCTCCCTAGGTAAGCCACATTCATCCCTGGGGTCCAGGCAAGCAGAGGTGTAAGCCTGCCATCAGCATAGGAGTTTTCTGATGAAGCAGCCACGTGGGGAACTTAGGGCGGGGCTGAAAAGTAGAGCCATCTTACGGTGGTAGTTGGTGCTTAGATTCCAAATCCCTGCTGGAGGAAAGCGAGCAACCTGATTCCACCCTCCGGATACCTGAAACCAGAGATGAACTGAAACTAACTAATGCCACATCCCAGCCCCATTCCTGACTAGCTGGAAGGGAGGAACCTCCCACCAAGACTGCCTGATAGAGAAAAGTGCAAGCCCTTTCTCGGGTATTTATTATGTATTCAGTCTCTACTCTCCTTTTATACATAATGTGCAGCACATAATGATAAATTATAAGACATACAGAGAAAGAGGAAAATGTGGCCCATAATCAAGAAGGATAAAAAAACAACCAGTAGAGACAGACTCGCAGAGAACCCAGGGGTTGAAATTAGCTGACAAAGACTTTTAAGTAACTATTATAAATATGTTAAAGAATTTAGAAGAAAAGATGGACCAAGTGGGTGAGTGGATGGTGAATTTCAGCAGAGACATGGAAACTCTAAAAAGAACCAAATGGAATTTCTAGAACTGAAAATTACATATCTCGAATAAAGAATGTATTAGATGGGCTTCCCAGCAAACAGAAGGAAGGATTAGGAAGTCAAAGTCAGGTCAATACAAGCTATTCAAACTGAAAGGAAGAATAAAGGCGATGTTGCCCAAGCCCTTTTGGGCGATGTCCTCACTGCCTCCGCCTGGGGAGGGGCACCTCACCTTATGCCACAGGACCCGGAGGCAGTTTCTCCGCAGGGTTGTGTGCTGCCAGGCCAGGTACTCATCCACACGGGCACAGGCCTGTGTGGTCCTGGGGGTACCAGTGGTCAGGGACCTTATACTTGCGGGTCAGGTAGAGCAGAATGGCCATACTGTGGGGGAGGGGAGGACATGATGGGTGGGGGAAAGTACGGAGCTAGGGGCTTTATACAGAGTCCCTTCCTTAACCTTCCTGACCATGTGCCAAGGTATTTGCTCGGTTTCCAGACAAGGAAGCCAGGCTCAGAACAGAAATGGGAGTTGCCCAGGGCACACAGCCTTTGGTGGCAGAACTGAAAGTCTGTCTATGGCTAATACCCAAGCTCATCCTATCACCAGGCGAAATCCCACAGCAAGTCCTGCCAAGTGTTCTGAGACAGCTTCTGATGGGAAAACCAGAGAGAGCTTCCTGGAGGAGATGGCATCAAAGCTGAGCCTTAAAGAAGCTCAGTTCTTTCCAGTCTGCATCTACTCTCGTCATCCAACATTCAGCCCCTCCCAGATGGCCTGGTGGTTCAAAAAGGCTTTCCTGTTGTCCCTAAAGCACCAGCTGGAAACGCGGGGCGGGGCGGGGGGGGGGGCGGGCAGTGCTGCAGGATCATGAACCAGCAGGACAGACAATGCTCCCGCAGCTCCCTTCCTGCCCTGGGTTAGGAGGACTGCCTTGGTGTTGGGGCGGGGGTGGACCCGGAAGGGCACTGAATGTGGGAATTTGGGGCCATAGGAAGGCCTTCAGGAACTCGGGATACCCCAGGGGCTGGGCATCCCAGCCAAAGGGGCAGAAAACCTCTGTATCTACCACTGGCCTAGGTTCCCTACTGGGAACCCTGCACCCACACTCAGCTGAACAGCTCACTTGTCTTTTTGCTCTTTTTGCTCCCAACTAATTGTTCAAGGAAGCTCCGAGGAGGGCTACAGGTCCCTGGGAGCCATGCACCTCCCAAAATAGGGGAGAAGAGACAGAGAAATGCAGAGATTGCATGCTGCCCCTGGCAGGTACGCTTGGGAGGTCAACAGTGGGCAGCACAGGACTCAGGACAGTAAGGGCAGCAGGAAGGAAGATGGCGCTGGCAGAAGGTGGGAGGAATTCTTTGGGGGTGCATCCACCTCAAGATTCCAGAGATGAGTTCAAAAGTTCCAGGTTCCCCTTGTTGTGGGAGGCGTGACTTAGGTGATGAAGGGGGCGGAACTGGAAAAAAATTTCACCCTCCCTAAAGAGATTTCTACTTCTTGGGACTGTTGTGATGCAAAACATGCACGTGTCTGGTGGTCTTCCCACGGGCATGGCCCACCCAGGGAAGGGGCAGCCCAGAGATGGAACCACTGGGGCATCAAAACACAAGTTTGGCCAGCGGGCAACCTTGGAGGGGATGAAGCCGCCCTGCCCCGCACCCCTGCCCGGGGACCCATCACCAACAACCACAGGATTGGTACAGATGTAAAACAGATGCGTTCCTTTCCAACCATCCCTGTGAACTGAAACCGTGGACAGGCAGGAGCCGGGGGTCAAGCCCCGACTCTCTGTAGGATGTTGGGCAAAGGGCCCTTCACCTCGGAGGACTTCAGTTTCCTGTCTATGAAATAGAGAGCTAGGACAAGATGGTTCTAGCGAGGTCTGGTAGCAGCCCCGGCTCCCCAGTTACCTCTCGGTCAAAATGAAGTCCCCGCCCTTCAAGGCAGGCACCTTCTGCCGGGGGTTCACCTGGGCAAAGACATCACTGAGGTGCTGGCCTGCAGAGAGCCCATCGTGGTGGGTGGTGGGAGGAAAACGCCAAGCCCTGCCTGGCTGCGCCCACCCCCCACGCCACCCCCCTCTCAAGGCCCAGGCCCCAATTTCATGGCTCTTCTCCAGCCCCGGGTTGCTCTCCGGTGTGGAAAGGCTGCTGTGGGAGGAGTGGGAGGCTGTTCTGCCAGCTGGTGCAAAAGACCTTGATACCCCTTGCCAGGTCCTGGTGGGCATAACCTTCCCCCAACAGCATGCCCCCAAAACAGAGCTCAAGAAGCTCCAGCCAGGGTGGGGCCTCTCCTTGCCTGGGCCCTCACAGACACCCAACCCACTGCCTTTCCAGCATTGCCAGCGTCACAAGCGCCCATGCAGGGTGTCCCCAACTGCAGGGGCCGGGAGGCTGGTGCCCTGAGTGGACTGTGATTCCCTACGGTGCCCCTTTCCCTGTGGACTCTAAGGTAGGGTCACCAAACACAGACAAGTGGCCTCTTCCTGGTGTCCACTTACTTGCAACCAACTTCCACAGGCCCCTGAGTGTCCCCTTGCTCACCCTGCCCTGGGCACCGGGGACAGAGCTGGCCCTGTCGTTAGGCTCTGCATTCTTGTCCCACCACAGCTCCCTGGAAAGGTGCAGCCCACTGTCCCCCAGGACCCTGACCTCTGCTCAAGCTCATACGAGTGTTTTCTGCTCCTTCAGATGCAGCCAGAGAGAAGCTTCTGAAGGACACTTAAGCATCACTGCTGCCACGCTCAACAGCCTTCAGTGGTTCCCCATTACCACGGGAGCAGGGGGAAGCTGCTCAAAGCCATAAACTATCCACTACCGCCTCACCCCTCCAGCCTCAGCCCCACTCTCTCTCCTCCCTTTCCCTCCCTTCCGACTGTTCCTTCACCAGGGACCCTCCCCTCCTCTCCTGGTGAAACACACCTCCTACTGCACCCTCTATCTGACAGCCCAGTTTGGACATCCCTTTGTCCCCATGCCCTCTCCCCTACCCCACACTCTGCAGAGGTAACCCCTGGGCAGGACAAGTGGGCAGTCCCCAGAGGAGGCTGGGAAGAGATGGCGATTCAGGCAGAAGGACAGGCTGGCACAAAGGCAGAATGGCAGGCGAGGCCCACCGAGCTGGGGGCCCTGGGTGGAAGGCTCAGCCAGGCAGAGTTGCCCTACTTGCCCCGCCAGCAAAAAGGGAGTTCTGCTGTCGCCTACCCCAGCTGCCATGCCAGCTGTGCCCTTGGGACCTTGGGGACCTGTCAGAGAAACAAACCCTCTTGCTCAGAGTGCAGGGCTCGCCAAGCCCCTGCAGTCCCCCTCCTGCTCCCATAACTCCCCGTCGGCTGCCCCCCTTTCCGGTAGGAATAAGAGGCAGCGGACAAGGTAAGTGAAGGCAAAGCAGGAGGAGGAGGAAGGGACAGAGGGGGACCCAGTGCAGCCCAGGCCAGAGCATCAGCAGCTGGGGCCACAAAGGAGAGGCTCACTCTGCCACACCCCCCATGCGGCCCCCCTAAAGCCCCCTCCTCCTGCCCCTTTCCCTGGGGCCCCAACCCTATGCCCAGGTGCACCCCCTCTGTTCGCAGTGTCCCTCCTCCTTTCCTCATGCCTCCCCCACTTTTTACTCCGCTTCAGCTGAGCCCCGTGGTCCATTCCATGGGACCAAACAGAGTTTGGGGATCCCCGAATCTCGTATCTCCCTGGTGGCTCACCTGTTCGGTGCTGGCCCCAGGACGGCGGTGACTCGGAGAGGGGTCCCCCTAATTGGTGTTCGGCCTCCTCGTCCCTCACTGACTTCTCGGTCCCCCAGACCCGGGCCTGGCCCACCTTTGCGCAGGTCCACGGAGCGCAGCTCGAAGGGGATGCCGTTCTTCTCGGCGAAGATGTAGACGGCGCGGCAGGGTTGGGACAGCAGGTCCAGGTAGAGCTCCAGGCCCATGGCGGGGGCGGACCAGCCTCGCAAAGCACGGGATACGGAACACAGCAAGCCCAGCGCTGGGTCTGACGAGCGGTAGCGCGGCCCGCCCCCCTGGTAGCTCCCCATTGGCGCTCTGGCCGCGCACTTGGGTGCAATCGCGGAAGCCCGGCGAGTCTGCGGGCTGGGCGGGGGCTCCGGATGGTCCCCCTCGGGGAGGCGGGTTGGGGGGCTCAGAGGGCCCCCAGGCCCAAGCTCATCTCACTGAGCATAACGTCTTCAAGGCTCATCCTAGTTGTAGCGTGTGTCAGAACTTCCTGTTTTACGGATGAGAAAATTGAGGCCCACAGTTGATTACAGGTCCAGAAAGTCTGACTCCAGCATCTACGCTCTTGGCCACAAGCTGCAGAGATCCTGGCGCCAGCAAGAGGCAAAGCCTCTGGGTTTACGGTCAGCGTGGTGGGCTAACTCACTTCGCCCCGGTGCGCGCCCTGGACTCTGACAGCAGGTCTTCCTGCTCCTGCCAGCCCAGTGCCTCAATCTCGTTCCCTGGGTTTGTTTCTTCCCTCCTCTGGGCCTCTGTTTCCCCACCTTTAAAATGATGGAGCAATCCCACTGAAAGATCCAGCAATCCCACTTCTGGGCATATATCCAAAGAAAATGAAAACAGGATCTGGAAGAGATATCTGTAATCCCATGTTCATTGCAGCATTATTCACAATAGCCAAGATATGGAAACAACCTAAGCGTCTGTTAAGGGGTGAATGGATAAAGACAAATAGGAGAATATACACTGACACATACAGAGGAATCTTTCATCTAGCCTTTAAAAAGAAGGAAATCTTGTCATTTGCAACAACATGGATGAACCTGGAGGTCATTATGCTAAGTGAAATAAGACAGGCCCAGAAAGACAAATACTGCCTGATCTCACTTACGCTGTGTGGAATCTAAAAAAAGTGGAACTCTAACAAGCAGAGAGTAGATGGTGGTTACCAGGGGCTGGAGGGGGAGGGGGGAAATGGCAACATATTGGTCAAAGGGTATAAAGTTTTGAATACCCCAGATAAATAAGTTATGGAGAGCTAATGCACAGCATGGTGACAATAGTTAAGAGCACTGCATGGTAGACCTGAAATTTGCTGAGTAGTTCTTAATTATTCTCAGCAACAACAAAAAATGGTAACTGTCTGCTGAAAGGAAAAAAAAAAAAAAGCGCAACCTGAGTGTTGTGAGTGAAGTTTGATCCAGGGTCTTGCTGAAAACTACAGCACGAGAGACAGCCTTTTCAAAAATCCAGTTTTCGTTTCATTGATCTTCTCTACTGTTTTTCTCTTCTCTATTTCATTTATCTCCACTGGAATCTTTATTATTTCTTTTCTTCTGATGGTTGTGATTTGAGATCTGTATGCCTTTACAGCTATAAATTTGCTTCACAGCCCTGCTTCTGCTGCGTCCCATAAGTTTGGGTGTGTTGTGTTTTTGTTTTCATTTGTTCAAAGTACTTTCTAATTTCCCTTGTGATTTCTTCTTTGATCCACTGGTTGTTTAAAAATGGATTGTTTAATTTCCAGATATTTCATCTTCTAGTTTTCCTTCTGTTGTTGATTTCTCATTTCATTCCACTGTGTTCAGAAACACACACTATGATTTCAATCTGTTTAAATTTCTTGGGATTTATTTTATGGCTTCAGAAAGGGTCTAACCTGGAGAATACTACGTGTGCCCTTGAGAAGAACGTGTATTCTGTGTTGTGGGTGCAGTGCTGTGTGTAGTTGGCAGGCCGATTGGTTTAGGGTGTTGCTCAATCATCCATTTCCCTGGGGATCTTTGGTCTCACTATTTTATCCATTAGTGAAAGTAGAGCACTGAAGTCTCAACTCTTATTATTGACAGTTTAATCATGTTTAACCTTTAATTTTCAAATTCTTTTTGGAAGCTGGGGGGACTCGTGACCGCCCCCCAGACCCACCACATCAGATGTGTGTCCCAGGCTCAGCAACCGTGGCGGTTGTTCCAGTTCACTGAAAAACAGTGATTTTCAGCATCTCCCCTAAGGTAGGAGGCGCCGGGGGCTGAGCTGGCCAGGCCCGCAGGCTGGGCTGCTACTACGTGAACTTCTGCAGCAAATCGCAGATCCTCTCCTTGACCATCGGATCCAGCGTGGAGCAGTCCCACTCCGCCAACTTCACCAGCCGGTCGTGGGCCTCCCAGAAGAGGTCGGAGCCGATGGCCAGCTCCACCCTCATGCGCCACTCGGCCAGCTTGGAGCTGTTGAGGAAGACGTTATGGTTGCCCGCCATGGGCTGTGGAGAGACAGAGAGGTAGGCATGGTCAGCCTGTGGACCAGCCCCACCTGCGTCCCTCCTACAGCTGCAGGGCTCTCCCCATCTGTCCCTGTGGACAGTGAGCTGGCTAACCCCTGAGGCCTGGTCAGGGGTTGCAGGCCATGTAACACATGTGGGTGGGGATGGAAGATCCCTGGGGGCTCTCAGTCGCTGGTCTTGCTCCAAGGCTCCTGAATCCCTCTCTAAGGGACCCCTGGCCCAGGGCTTCCCACTTCTCCAGCGTGAAACCTCCCAGGGGTCCTGCCCTCTTCCAGGGAAACCCCTTGTCCCCAGATGAGGGTGGGAGGAATTCAGTTATTTTTCCCCCCTGTTGAACCTCCCTCTGTGATCAAGCACAGGGGCGGGGACGAGAAAGCCATCAGGCAGCCTAAGAAACATGCACACAAGATGTTTGGGGGGTTGTGAATGAAATTTAAGGGGTGGGGGGTGAAACTGAGGGGACTGCACCACCTGGGACAGAAAGATTGGAATGTTTTTTTCCCGGTGCTGGTCCACACTGCACACTGACCAGGGCCACTTTGCATACTGGCCAGGGTCTCAACAGCATCCTGCACACCAGCTAGGTCAGAACTGGTCACCCTCCCCTGCACACAGAAACCACATAAATGCCGCCCCACACCCACGTGTGTCCCCCCATGCACAGCGGATGCCCCTCAGACCCAGAGCCAGGGAGCTGCTCTGTACAACTATCTGTCTGGAGCTCTGGAAAAGAGGCACTTTGGCTGGAAGGACACTTTGGAAACCTCTGGACAATTTCCGGAGAGTCCAGCGGGAGGAGGAGGCATCCAGGATCCTGGCCGACTGACCAAGAAACACTGTGTTCTTCTCCTTGTCCCACGCTGGCCCTCCAGCTCCTGCCCCCACAGAGGACTCTTGGTGAAGCATGAATGACCACAATCCTCCCCGATTCAAAACCTGTGTTTCCTGTGGCCCCCGGGTCAAGGCCAGACACCCAGGCGTGGCTCCCACAGTCCCCATATCTCCCCGTTCACCAGCCTTTCTGAAAGTTATGGTCACAGAGGAGTCCCTCCTCTGTCCAGGCTCCATCCCCCCGTCACCCCACCGCACACCTGCATCATCTCCACCAGGGCTACCAAGTCGGCCAGGGAGATGTTGTCCCCGGTGATGAACATCTTCTCCTGCAGAAACTTTTCCTCGAAGAGCTTCAGGTTGTTAGTCACCTCTGCCAGCACCTGCTCTGTCTTCTCAGCTGGAACTTCCTCACCCGTGATCATCGGGATCAGCAGCTGGCCAGGGGAGGGGAGGGGAGGGAGAGGAGGCCATATCTGACCCTCCAGGTCTCAGTACCCTTTTCTGCTAGAGAGGTGGTGGACAGTACCAAGGATGTAAAGTGGTGTCGCCTCTTTTAGCAGTTCTGGTTGGTAGAAGTTGCCTGGGGCCCTTGTTCAGAAGGATTTGAGGTCCCAGCAGGAAAGAATCCTATGATTGATTACTGATATCTGTCACAGGCATAGGATAAGAAGTAGGGACACATGTACTGGTTATTTGTCATCTTCAAATCTGGTAGCCTTTATGGGCCCTTTGACTCTGGGGTGTTTTTTTTTGGGGGGGGGGAGTGTTTTGCTGCATGGCTTGTGGGATCTCAGTTCCCTGACCAGGGATTTAACCTGGGCCACAGCAGTGACAGTTCCAAGTCCTAACCTCTGGACCACCAGGGAATTCCCAACTGTGATATTTTCTAGTTGGAATGAAACGTCTTGACTCTTATCCTGGCTCCAGTGATACCAGCCCCTCCTGGGCACCCCTCACCTTGTCTTTATAAGGCCCTTTCCTACTCAGTGGTTCACACTCCCCACAGCTCTGTAAGGCAGGCAGGAAAGGGGGCTGTGGAAATGAGGCTCAGGGAGGGAGGGACGCCTGCTTGAGCCCCCGCTGTGGCCCTGCTCACCTTGATCCAGAGTATCTTGTTCATGGGCAGCTGAAGGGCTGTGTGCTGCCAGGCCATGAACTCGTCCACGCGGGCGCGCGTGTGCAGGTCTGGCGGGTACCAGTGCGAGGGCGCGCTGTACTTGCGGCACAGGTAGAAAAGGATGGCCACACTGCAGAGAGGACAGTCAGGGCGCTCCTCTGGCCTCCCCAGCCCTCTACACGAACCATCCAGCGGGGCTGGGCCCAATGTGGGCCCTCCAGCCACAGGTGGGCTCTAGGCACTGACATCCCACCTGGAGGAGGATGAGCCCCAAGGGCCCCGGGAAAGGCAGTCAGTCCGCCCCCATCAGCGAGGGCAGGGAGGGGCCCTGCGGGGCAGGTGGGAGTTGGTGGATGGCATCAGGAAGGGCAGTCCAGACAGGGCACAACACGTAGGGAAACACGGGGTAAGAGGGGGCGCGGGAAATCTGGAGAAAGCAGAACCCATGAGTGACGGGGAGAGGGTGCGGGCTGGGTGGGGAGAGGTCAGGGACAGCCAGGGATGGCCTGCACTGCTCTGTCCATGCCCACTGCCCACTGCCCCCACCGCCACACCTTCCGTGTCTCTTGATCCTGCACCTGGAGGTTATGGTCCTCAACGCTTATTCCCTGCCTTCAGCCCTCCCGGCTCCCACGCTGGGAGCTCGGATACCAAGCGGGGACCACACACACCAGCACGTTCTCTGACAGCCCCTGCCCCCAGGGTGAATCAGAGCTTACGGTGACCGGAGGAGCCTCACCTCCTGGCAGACAGGGCCCAGCCCACATCACAGTCCCTGGGATGACCCTGGAATAGGCATCTGGCCTTTTGTCTGGCCAGCACCCTTTCCCCCACTTTTCCCACAGGGACCCGCTCCACCAACAGTGATCCTGGCCCGGGTGACTGGCAGTCATGGGTCCCAGTGCCCTGGCCAGTGAGAGGCCCACAAGTAAGCAGGTGACTCGACTGGGCCCATCCCTGTCCTTCCTGAGAACTTCAGATCACCCACGAAGGAGGGGTTGCTCGTTTTGCGAGGACCAGGTGCTTCAAAGATAAGGCTACAGAGCTGTTGCTGGTGGTGGGAATAGGAGAAAATGCTGAGAGAAGCTGGCAGGTGGGCTGGTGGGGGAAAGCATCAGCACCACCATAGCCAGGCCCAGATTCCCCTGGCTTGTCACATCCCCCAGTAAACTCAAACTAGTTGAGCGGAGTTTCTGCCTTGCGTGGCTGGTGTCCTTAGCCTCTCACTCAGTGCCCTAATAGACACCTGTGGGCAGAGGGGCCAGGAGGCTGGAGGGATGGGGGAAGGGTGGGTCTTTGGAGAAGGTCTAAGGGGGATGGTAGTGGATTCACAGCCGTTCTAAGGCCCAGGACTGGGAGGTGGGAGGGAAGGACCAGCAGGGTGAGAAGGTGGCATAATAAGGCGGCCAAGGGCAGAGGTGGGGGCCCTGCTCTGGAGAGAAAACCAAGGGTGTGGCTGGATAATCACTTGGTAAAGATATTAGGCAGGTGACTTGTGAATCTAAGGGACCATTTCAGCAGAAACACTGACAGCTTGTACTGAAGGAGACAGATGGGATGAAATGAACGAAGGCTGTCAGACACCTCTGTGAAATGGGCAGATGGGACTATTCAACCTTCAAGAAGAGGAAAGAATAACCGAGAGGGAGGCTCAGGGCCCAGTAGGGCTGTCCTGCCACCACAGGCCTGGGGTACTGGTTCTAAAAGGTGGGGCCAACACCCTGATAGGCTCAGAGGACAGAGTATGGAGCTAAAGAGAAACGAAAGACCCAAAATGGGGTCACTTGTGCTAAGCCCCACATCAGCCAACCGAGACTCAGTACCTTAACCTAACTGCAGTTTCAGCCTCTCCCAGGAATGTGACCTTGAACCAGTTAATCTGGAATTACCTGGCCAGCACTAGTGAGGTCATCTGCCTGATAGACCCCTGGCTTCCCGCAAAGAAAGGTGATCTTGACTAAAACAATCCGCTCTTTGCTAGAAACTTCCTTTCCCTGCCTCCTTCTGCCTATAACAAGCCTTTCATTTTGTACAGCTCATCAGAGCTCCTTTCCAGGTGGGATGCTGCTCCGTTCATGAATTGTTGAATCTTTAATTTTACGCAGTTGAATTTTTATTTTTAACAATGCTCAAGCCCTAAAACCGAATGCAATTTGTGCTGCCAGGTTTCAGACTTGCCGGGGATGCACGAGCCTTTTATTCCTTCCTATCCTCTGTTTTGGAATGGTAATGTCTAGCCTATGCCTGTCCCCCCACTGTATTTTGGAAACAGGATAACTTGTCTGGTTTCACAGGTTCATAGATGGAAGGGAATTTTGACCCAGCATGAATCAAACCCTAATCGCACCCATACCTGACTTGGATGATTTAGAGGATGGCATTTTGGACTTAAAGGTGATGCTGGGATGATTATGACTTTTGGAGATGCTGGGATGAGGTGAATGTATTTCACACATGAGCAGGACATGAATTCGGGGGGGGCCAGGAAGCAGACGGTTATGAGTTGAATTGTGTCTCGCAAAAAAGACATGTTGAAGTCTTAATACCCAGTACCTTAAAATGTGACCTTATTTGGAAAGAAGGTCTTTACAGAGGTCATCAAGTTAAAATGAGGTCATTGGAGTAGATGCTAATCCAAAATGACTGGTGTCGGGACTCCCCTGGTGGCGCAGTGGTTAAGAATCGCCTGCCAATGCTGGGGACATGGGTTCGATCCCTGGTGCGGGAAGATCCCACATGCCTTGGAGCAACTGAACCCGTGCGCTACAACTACTAAGTCTGTGCTCTAGAACCTGCGAGCCACAACTACTGAGCCCATGTGCTGCAACTACTGAAGCCTGTGCACCTAGAGCCCATGCTCCGCAACAAGAGAAGCCACCGCAATGAGAAGCCCGTGCACCGCAACAAAGAGTAGCCCCCGCTCACCGCAACTAGAGAAAGCCCACATGCAGCAACAAAGATCCATGCAGCTAAAAAAATTTTTAAAAAAGACTGGTGTCCTTATAAAAAGGGGATATTTGGACACAGAGACATGCACAGAGGGAAAGCGATGTGAATAGACACAGGGAGAAGATGGCCATCTTCCAGACAAGGAACACCCTAGGCTACCAGAACCTAGGAGAGACCTGGGACAAATCCTTCCTGGCCCCTTCATGGCGAGCATGGCCCTACCAACACCTCGATTTCGGACTTCTACCCCAGAGCCATGAGACAATACATTTCTGTTGTTCTAAGCCAGCCAGTCGGTGGTACCCTCTTACAGCAGTCCTAGAAATGTACCTAGCCCTGGGCCACCCAGACTTCCATGGTCCACTTGGGAGATATACTTTAAGTTATGAGACCACCTGTGAAGCAGGCTGAGAAACAATGAACCCTGAATCTTACCAAACCTTGAGATCCAACTACCAATTTACAGGAAATGAAGGGACAGAAAGCCATGTTACACGGCACCATGAGGATTCAGTCAGCAAAATTTAGACCATCGGAAATTCCACAGGACAAAGGAGGTGGTTTCCTCAACCATGGCAAAAGTGCAAAGGTCCAAGGTCCAAGGTGGGGCGTGGAGGGGGCTGGAGATGAAAAGAGACTGAAGAGGTGGATCAATCAGTTGCACTCTTTGCAGCTTATTTGGACCCTGATTCCAAGGCACGAACTGCAAAGAAAATATGTCTGAGATATTCAGAGACTGTCGAATATGAACAGGATATATGAAGAAATACAGGAATTATTGTTAATTTTATTAGGTGTCATCATGGTATTGTGGTGATGCTTTTTTTTTTTTAAAGAGACTTTATCTCTTAGAAGGTCATTCCTAAACATTTACAGGTGAAGGAATGGAGTGGCCAGGAGGCAGGGGAACAGAGTGGAGTATAGATGATGCAAAATGGGCCCCTGGGTGGACCACTGTTGGAACTATGGGGTGGGTACGTGGGTCCGTTATACTCCTTCTTCTTTACTATTTACTCTACTTAAGTGTATGTGTGAACTTTTCCAGAGTAAAAAAAAAAAAAAATCAATAGGCACCAGCAGAAGGGCTGCCACTGACTCTCCCAGGAAAAGCAGACACATGGTGGGAGAGCCAGGGAAGACCGTTACCTTTCAGATAAGACAAATTTTCCATCTTTGAGACTGGGCAGCTTCCTCAGGGGGTTGATCTCGATGTACTCCTTGCTGTGGTGGTGACCTGAGAGGTGCAGGAAGGTCTGAGGCTGCTGGGACCCCAGGGAAGAGAGACCCAGGCCTCCCAGAGGCAGAAATGCCTTTCTCTCCATTTTCGCAAGAAGGGAAACTGAGTCCCAGAGGAAAACCATGGCTCACCCCAGGTAAGGGGGCAAATCAGCGGCCCAACAGGGACCAGGTCAGGACGCCTGCCCCCATCCCAGGCTCCGTGACCAGGACAACCTTTATGGCTCACAGAAGCTGGAGGCCTCCAGCCCTCACCCCCAACTCTGGGCCTAAAGCCACAGCCTGTGAATCAACAGAAGCCCTAGGGGCCTGGATCCCACCCCTAGACCCCCTGCCCCTCTAAGGGGAGCAGGGCAGGTGCCAGCACAGGAGCCCCAGCCCCAGCACACAGATGGAATCCAAAAGGGAGCCTCCCATAGGCACTCAATCCAAGTGATCCGAACAGAGAACCCTATGTGTGTGTGGCGGGGGGGGTCGGGGTGGGGGGAGTTTTAACTCCTCCTTGGTCAGCTGCCTCCACTGAAAACACTTCAGGGGGCTCTACTTCCACCCCGATAATGTCCAGGGCTCCCGGGTCTCCTCCTCTGTGTTCTGGAGGCTCCAGCCTCTGCAAGCTGAGGTTTTAGAGCTGCTTGGAGTGGTGATGGAGAGTGTGGCCACGGACCTCACCCAGGCTTGGGGGTCACCCTGAGCAGGTCTGAACACTTGGAGCGGGGGAACGGGTGTGGATTGAAGTAAATGAGGAATAACCGTGCGCCTCTGCGACCTCTGCCAAACTAATTGGCAGGTGCTGCAGCTGACGAGGTGCTGGGCACCCTTGAGGAGAAGGTGGGGCGCTAGGTGGGGGTCCCTCCGCCCCTCTTCCTCTCATTTCCCCCCAGAAGAGCCTGTTCACAGCGGGGCAGAGTCCGTGGGGACCCGCAAAGGCAGGCGGGGCAGGAGCACCACCAACAATTCCCTTGGGAAGCTTTTCTTCCCCTGTGGACTTTGTGGGGGTCTCCTCTGTCTCTGTCTCCGCTTCTCAGAAATACCCCAACCTTGTGTCCTGCCTTCCTACCCGGGCAGCTGCAGATGCCGACCTTTCAGCAGATCCACAAACTGGAAGTCGAAAGGGATGCTGTTCTTCCTGGCGAAGATGTAGACAGCGCGGCACGATGCAGACAGCAGGTCCAGGTAGAGCTCCAGGCCCATGCTGGGCCCCCGCTGCGGCCGGCAGACACCCAGCCTCAACCAAAATGCAGCCTGTGCCCTGGCCCTGTGCCCACCAGCCCAGGCCCAGGCCCCCGCGTTCTGGAACCTCTTGTTCACTTGGTGTTTTCATAAGGCCGAGAAGCCTGGAATTCTCACAGCAGCAAAGATTCTGAGGAAACCCAGGAACAGGCTGGAGAGAGGCCTGTAGCTTGGGGCCAAGGGGTCAGGGGTGGCTGTGACCTTGCCCTCTCCCTCCGTGGGGGTGTCCGTTTGTACTCCTGGCCCGGGTCTGAGAAGGGCTTCCACGTGGGCACTCCCATGGCCAGGCCTTCATGGCAGAACGTAATCGAAGGGGCGTTGCAGGGTCCAGAGTGAGGATGGGATGAGAACTAACCCAGGAGGGTTCCAGAAGCAGGGAGCGGGGATATCCACAGGTCAATCTAGCCTGAACTGTGGCTAGAAACGGGTGGGGAGAAAGAAACAGGAACCCAGGGGGCTGTCAGGGCATTGGGGTGACACCACAGGGGACTCAAGGGGCCACGCAGAGGAGCCCAGAAACCTCCAGCCTGGGTTGGGACCGGCTGTGGCCAGGCCGAGCACCTGGACTCAGCACCTGGCGGCAGAGCAAGGTCACTGTGGGGGCCTGAGTGCTGCTCACTCTGAGCTGCGCGACTTCAGGAGATCCCCTGACCATTTGGAAATGGGGAGAGCCCACTTCCCGGGACAGAAAGAGGCTGGACACGAGTTGGGGGCACACAGAGTGTTTACTGCAGATGGCAGAGCGCAGGGGCGTGGCAGACCCTCAGCGGAGCCGCTCCTTCACCCTCTGCACAAGCTTCTGGGCCAGCTGGGGGTCCCACTGGGCCTCTTGGGGTTCCCGAGGCTGAAGCACTCACCTGTGGGCCTCCTGGACGAGCTCAAGGCCCAGGGTGGCCTCCACACGGGCTCGCCACACAGCAAGCCAGGACCAGTCTTGGAAGAGGTCGCAGCCGACGGCAGTGGGCTGGGGAGACAGGGCAGCTGGGGCCTGGGCTCAGCCTGCGCCCAGAGCAGCCCCAGAGGACAAGTGGGCAGGAGAACCTCACCTGCATCAGCTCTGTGAATGCCATCAGATCTGTCAGGGAGACCTGCTCAGTGGCCAGGAAGGGTCTGGCCGCCAGGACCTCCTGATCCGGGTGCTGCAAAGCACGCGTCAGCTTCCCCAACAGCTGCTGCAGCTGCACAGCATCCACAGGCTGCCCGGAGAAGTGGGGCAGGAGAGACTGGGCTGGGAAGAGAGGCGACAGCTTATCTTGGGGCCCTCCAAGCCTCCTCAACCTCCTCTTCACCCCTCCCTCAGCAGCCATTTATCAGCGATGCCCTCTGGGGCTCTGCGTTCAGAAGGATTCTGAGGTTTCATTCAGGCTCAGGGGAAAGACAGCTGTGATAGATTAGTGATGGGCAAAAAGTGAGGACAGGGGACAGGCATTCAGAGCCCAGTGCAGCCCCAGGGCTGCCCAGCTCCTGTGACTCTGAAAGGACATGTTCAGACATCTGGGGAGGGGCTCCCCACAAGCCTGGGTCTTCCCCGGTTGCATCCAGGTTGTCCAGGCCTAGGGGGTGGCCTACACCCCCTTCCACTCTGAAGCTCCCAGCTTTAGCCCCAAAGCAGCCCCCTGGTCCAGCTCCCAGCCCTCTGAGCTGTATTCGCTGAAAGGAGGAAGGGGCCCAGCAGTCTGGAAAGATCTTCAAGCCAGGGGCTACCAGCTTTCTGTCTGCCTCCTTCTGCCTCCGCCCAGCAATGAGCCCCAGACCCAGGGCACCTTACCTCTCGGCCACCAGAAAGTCCCCATCCCTGAGGGCAGGCACCTTCTCCAGGGGGTTCACCTTCAGGAATTCAGGTTTCAGGTGCTCCCCTGGGGGGCAGAGAGCAGAGGAGGCTCAGCACAGGGTCTGGCCCCTGGGCGCCCCTCCGTGGAGCCCACCTAGCTCTGCTCACCCTGTGCCAGCTCCACAGGGTGCATCTCAAAGGGGATGCTGTTCTTCCTGGTGAAAATGTAGATGGCACGGCAGGGGGGTGAGTACAAGTCCAGAAAGAGCTCAAGCACCATCCCCGTGCTTCCCATCGGCCCTCTACTCAGGCCTCCAAAATGGGGTCCATGGTCTGATCCATGCCCCTCCCTGAAGCCTACTCCCTCCACAACTGGCTGGGCACCCAGCCAAGCCATCACACCTTGTGGCCTCTGTCCCCTGTGAAGGGCCGGTCACTGGTTTTTCAAAAGCAGGGTCCCCAGCCTGGTCCTCCTCCACCTTCATGGGGCAGTGCAAGCCGATGGACACTCCCACCCCTGCTCTCTTCAGCTGGCGGGGCCACCTCCCCACCCCCACCCCCACCCCCACCCCCGCTTCCCTTCAGTCTAGACAGCTTTCACTGTCCTTCAAGTCCGCTGCGACGCATATGTCAGGTTCTTAAGGATTTCTGTCTTCCCTTCCACCATGCCTGTGCCACGCACACCCCCCACACACAACCCCACACACTCACAGAGTCATGCACACACAGTCTCACACACACACACACACACACAGAAGCACACACACAGACACTCCCATGCCCACCCCACCCCTGAGTAACTATCCCAACTTCCTACTGGGACCACCCTCTGCCCTCCTCGCGTGCCCCCCAAACCCCCGCCCCTTGGGCTCAGGCCAGACCCTCCATCACCAAGTGCTGTCCCTCCACCTCCTGCACCTCTTACCCCACAACCAAGACCCCGATGGCCTGGCAGCCTCACCAGCCTCCAGACTCAGCCCTGCCTCCATCGAGTCTCTCATCCTGGTGCACACAGCACAGGACCAGAGGTTTCCTTTCTTTCTTTCTATCTTTTTATAAATTTATTTACTTTTTTAAATTTTTGGCTGCGTTGGTTCTTCGTTGCCGCGGGTAGGCTTTCTCTAGTTGTGGCGAGTGGGAGCTACTCTTCTTTGCTGTGCGCGAGCTTCTCATTGTGGTGGCTTCTCTTGTTGCAGAGCGTGGGCTCTAGGCACACGGGTTTCAGTAGTTGTGGCGCACGGGCTTAGTTGCTCTGCCACATGTGGGATTTTCCCGGACCAGGGATCGAACCCATGTCCCCTACATTGGCAGGAGGATTCTTAACTACTGCGCCACCAGGGAAGCCCCTCCCTCCCTTCCTCCCTTCTTTTCTTTTCTTTCTTTCTGGATTTCCTTTTTATTTCTTCTTTCCTTCCTTCCTTCCTTCCTTCCTCCTTTCTTTCTTTCTTGATTTCCTTTCTTTCTTCCTTCCTTTCTTTTCTTTCTTTCCGGATTTCTTCTACCTTTCTTTCTTCTTTCCTTCCTTCTGTTTCTCCTTCCTCCCTCTTCCTTTCTCCTTCTTTCTTTCTGGATTTCCTCTTTCTTTCTTTCTTTCTTTCTTTCTGGATTTCCTCTCTTTTTCCTTCCTTCCTTCCTCCCTCCCTTCCTCCTTTTTTTCTCTTTCTCTCCTCCTTCCCTTCAACTCTTTCCTTCTTTCTCATGTAAGGAGCCCTGGGCGACTGCCCTCCCTTCCCTGTCCCACCCCATCTATAAGCAAATAAATCTGTTGAAAATAGAAACGTGGGGACTTCTCTAACGGTTAATGGTTAAGACTCCCCGCTTCCACTGCAGGGGGCACACGTTCGATCCCTGGTCCTCAAACTAAGATCTCGCATGCCCAGGGCGCAGCCAAAAAAAAGAAAGTAGAAATGTGGGTGAGGGAACCCCGAGAAACTTGAAAGCATGGTGTGCTTTCATCTGTGCTGTATCGGACGCTTATGGGCCATTCCCTAAACGTTTGTGTTTGGGCTCGCGGTTGGTTGTAAACAGCCCTTGACTATAACACAGGGCGAAGGCTTTGTGATGATTAAAGACCATGCGTCACGTCCTCTCGAGACCCTGCTAGGATGCAGCCACGGAATAAGAAGCGTTCTTCACAAATGACAAGAAAAGGCCACCGGAGAGGAAATGCAAGAAAATTCCCCAGGTTTACGCCTAAAAATGTAAATCCCCAGTGAAACTAGTCTGAGAATCTATCGGTAAGGAAAAAAGCGCAACGCAGTAGAAAACTGGGCAAAAGATAAGAACTGGGCAAAAGAAAGAAAATCAGTGTTTTTCTTGCATTTGCTGTTTTTCCAGCGTCTGACTCAAAATAGTCAATATGCCAGAGTAGCATATTTGGGGGTGACTGTTCTGACTTCCTTCAATTATAAACACATACCTAACGGCAAACACCAAATTCCCAAGCGTGGAGGTTGAGGTGGAAGCACCCGAGGGCTTCACTTAAGCCCGACCCACGTGGGGGATACACGAGTACTTGTATATTATTCTCTATAATAATAAATTAAAACCTCCATACTAATAAAAAGGTCATTACAAAAACAAAAATTACGCCAGACGGCCCTTCTCTTGGACGCGTGCCTCATGCCGGCCCTTGGCACAGCATTTTATCAGCCCTCACTTTGCCCCTCCGGCAGACACCACCAGCACACAGACGTTCGAGCCGCCCGGCTCCAGGCCACCCCCTCTAGGCCCCGCCCCGCCGCACGGAGCACGCTGGGAGCTGCCAGCCCCGCCCCGCCCCTCAGAGCACAGTCTCTCAGAGCACCGCCCGGAGCGCGGAGCGTACTGTGGGCGGACCCACCACCTCGCCGCCCTCGCCCCTGCCCTGCCAGGCCCCGCGCGCGGAGCTTGCCGGGAGGGGGTCGTTGCCATGGCAACGGTCGGAGCGTGCTGGACCGTTACGGTCTGGTGACGCGCGCGCCCGTCTTGCCCAGGGCCCCTGAGAGCGGTGGGTGGTTGAGTTATTGCCGGGCGGCGGCCTAGGCTGAAGGGAAGGGGCGGGAAAACCACCCGGGAGGGGGGCCTAGAAAGCGCCGGAGCCTGTGGAGCGGAAGGGAAGGGTTTGGGGCCTCGGAGCTGAGACCCCCCCACCGGGCGAGGGGAGAGAGTGCAGTCTCCGGCCATGTCGAGCGGAAGGAACTGTGCCGGGTCCCAGAGGGGGAGACAGGAAGATGCGAATAGAAGAGGGTGGACTCAAAAAGTGGAGGGAAAAGGGGAGGTGGAAGAAACAGAGCTGGGCAGACCTCCCAGCGAAGCTGAGTCCATGGCGTCATTCCCTAGCACTAGACGCACCATCGCTGAGCAAAGCATAATAGACCCCTACCCCTACTCATTTTTGGAAGGTCAATATATTTTACGCACAGGATAGGGGAGGGGAAGAACGGTCAGGGAAAGGGGAGCAGGCAGGGAGGAGACCTGAGTCAAGAGCCCAGTTCTGAAGCAGGAAGGGTCCTCAGAGGTTGCTTTCACGTGTAGGTGGAAGTCTGACCACAGCTCTTTCTGGCGCTTAGAGCTCTCAACCACTCTGAGTCTTCCCTCTACCTGTGGGAGACTTACCTTTGGGTTAAGGAGGGGAAAGAGGAAGGGACAGATGGACAGTAGCAGCGCAAGGAAGGGATGCCAATGGGAGGAGGAGAGAGCACCATGGAGGCCACCCTGGTGAGAACTAGAGACTGGTTTTAAGAGAAGTCCCTGTCATGACACCCCAGTGCCACCCATTTCAGGGCTTCTGGGTGAGGTGGACCAAGTCTAAGACTAGGGGGTCAGGGCAAGAAGCCTCACAGTAACCCTTGTCAATAGGAGACTTCACACGGGACCTCCCCCCATATTGTTCATGCTTTGTTCATCCTTTGCCAGGGCACCTTGGGGTCCCAGGTGAGGACCTTGGTGGTCTTACTCCGATAGAAACTGCTATGGCCGTAGGTGAATGGCCCCTGCACCGTAGGACAAGTTACCGCTGATAACGCCAGGGAACATCACAGTTGGGAGGTTATTGAGCTCCCCAAAGTTTTCTGAGGCTGCCTTGTCATCTGTAAAGTAATTGCAGCTCTACCCTCTCCGGAGGTGGTTACAGAGACCTAGTGAGATGCTGAAAGTGCTTTTAAAGGGTGTGGGGCCCTGTAATGCAAGGACGTGTTACCAGAAAGCCCAGTCCACGTGGCTTGGGGAGCCACTGGGGAAGGAAGGGACTGGAGCCAACCTTACCCAACCAGGGCCTGCTGCCACCACTTGCCAGCAGGGCCAGGTTGGCTTGATGGGCTGCCAGTCTGTTTGCCCTCGTTCTCCCTGTCCGCGCTCTGGGTCCAGAGACCTGGATTTGAATCCTGGATTTGTCACTTACTAGCTGAGTGATCTTGGGCAAGTCATTTCGGCTTTCCTGCTTAAGTAGAGCTAAGGTGGCCTGTGAATGAAACCATATAAACGGAGGCATTTCTGGCTCCAGAGGAAGGCCGCTGCTGTCTGGGAGGAGCCCTTGCCAGGAATCTGTTAGAGACAGTTATTTTGTCACCAGCTGGAATGGCATGGGACAAAGCACTGCAGCTGTCTCGTCCTCACCAATTGCGTTGGCCTCATCCCTCATGTTATCCTGTCATTTTCAACACTGTCACCTCCTTCAGCCTTAGCATTGGCCTTGGCCTTAGTTTCCTCCTGTGTGACTTGGGGGTGATGATTCCTGCAGGAATCAGCTTGGAATAAGGAAGCTCTCAGGTCACATTACAGTTCACATGCATTAGGTGGGGTATTCAGTCCTGAAGAGCAGCAAAAGGGATGGCCTGGTGTAAGAACAGAGCTGTGGAGAACATCAGGGGCCCTGTTAACAGCCAATAAGAGTCTGACTCATAAGCACCAGGGCGGGGTGGGGGGGTGGGCATTGAGTCTTGACTAAAGAGTCTGTTGGAAAAGCAGGCTGAACAGAAAAACCGGGTCATTGTCAACACACTCAAGATGATAAGCAACCTTTTTTTATATATAAAGCGATTATTTAGATTGAGAAATTATGAATTTTAAAAACAAGGACCGGGCTTCCCTGGTGATGCAGTGGTTGAGAGTCCGCCTGCCGATTCAGGGGACACGGGTTCGTGCCCCGGTCCAGGAAGATCCCACATGCCGCGGAGCGGCTGGGCCCGTGAGCCATGGCCGCTGAGCCTGTGCGTCCGGAGCCTGTGCTCTGCAACGGGAGAGGCCACAATGGTGAGAGGCTCGCGTACCGCAAAAAATAAATAAATAAAAAATAAAAAAGTACCACAAGCTCAAGAATATCCTGACATTCTTCTTAACTGCTGGACACACCTTCACCTTTCAAATACTCCCTCCCCCAACCCCGCCCCTGTATTTTTGGACTGCACAATCTTTGATTACCTTTCATTGTGACAATTATTTTATGTTTCCTACACAGAAGAGGTGATTCCCCCACCTCTCCTTTAGCAGTAAGTGTGTCCCAGGAAGCCGTTTATGCACCAAGATAGCAGACACAGGAGTGACTTCAAAGCCCGTGGGCATATCCCACTCAACCCACACATTAGTGATCCCCCAATTTTACCTTCCCCTTAGCCACATCCCAAATGCTCACAGGAGAGGTGTGACGGAGGAAATTTGCAGTGGAAAAACACAATGGGCCTCAACCAACTTGTAAAAGTATTTTCTGCAAATTTTCCAAAAGCACCTGACAACTGAAAGCATGGCTAGGGCCCCTGAAGGGATAAGCACATGCCCTGAAGCTTCAGCTCTGTTTACTTTGGCTGTAAATCCCCCTCTGCTCTGAGTAATCACAGCTGTGCCAGGCTCAAGTTTAGTGCCACCGGAGAGTTTAAGGGAAGATAGTGTACACCTTTGACCGTTGCCAGGCACTGGTTCACTCTAATTTTGCCTCATTTTGTGTTGACACACAGGCTCCCACACCTACCCACCCTGCTCTCCTCCTACAGTGCACACAGCAGGGAGGTTCCCGGCATTTGTGCCCCCACCAACCCCCGCCAAAGCCCTCCTCTGGATGGAAGAGGGTCCTTGGCCCTGAGCAGAGTTCTCCCTGCTGGGCCCACCCCGCCCTCTCCCGCACACACACAGCTGGTCAAGCTGATCCTTGAGCCACAGGCCACTTCCTGAGCGGCCGAGGGGTGGTGGGAGCTGGCAAAGCTGATTCCCGTTCAGGTCCCAGACAGGTCTGGCAGAGCCCCAGGCCAGCTCCTCTTAACCTGCCTGTTCTCTGATAGGACAGGGGAGGGGAGACGGGAGAGGAAAAGTGTAGAAGAAGAAGAATTGGAAGAAAAGCGAGAAGGCCTCGGCTTGGGAGCGAGGGCAGTGGGGTGAGGACGGGCACCGGTCCTGCGGCTAACTTGCTGTGTGACCATGGGGGAAATCTCCTACTTTACCTCTCTGGGCCTCAGTTTCCCCTTTAAAGTAAGGCCACTAACACCTACCTCACAGTGTTGTTAGGATACCACGAGGTAATGTCTGGGGAAATTGCTTGGGAAATTGGGAAAGGCCACTCACATGGGAGCCCCTTATTATCCTTTTGGCTGAAGGGGGATAGGAGACCTGGAGGCCCTGAACACAGGCCTGGGCCTTGACTGTTAGGGGAAGCCGCCCTGGGCTTTACTCAAAGCCGACCCTGCCTTAGGCTGAGCAGCAGGCGGTGCCCCTGAGAGCACTGGCCTGAGGTCAGAAACTCCAAGCTCAGTAAGTGAGTGCCCCAGGCCGCTGGAAAAGCCTGGAAAACTGAGGGGGTGCTGTTCTGGTGCAGCCCCGGCTGCCTCTCCAGGGACTGCAGGGAAGACGAGCAGCAGAGGCCAGGGACTGGGGAGGACAGCCAGCACAGGCAGTGATAGGGCAGCCGTGGGGCCCGGGCCAGGCAGTGAGGAGCAAGGGGTCCAACTCAGCAGGGGGCTGCAGCTCGGCGCTGGCAGGCACTGGCGGGAATGGGGTACAGGGGCCTGATCGCTTGCCCCCTGGTTGTTTCCTCTACCTGGTACCTGGTGCCTCCATGATCTGAACACAGTCTGCCTCTGCCAATGTGTGCAGAGTGAGCCCTTTAAGAAACAAAAGAAGCTGACCTGAAGTGATAGTTTGGAGTTCATTTCCATCCAAGAACATGGGTGTTGGGTTCTGGGGACGGGCTGGCAGCGGTCAGGGCAGCGAGGCCACATGGACGAGGAGGAGGAGGAGGAGGCCAGGGAGGAGGTGGGGACGGGGCGTGGGGCTGGGAGGATAGGTCAGCAGCCTGCTGGGGGCCTGAGGCGATGGAGAGAGACTGTCCCACGCTGGGCAGCTTGCTCCCCTTCACCCCCAAAGAGAGCGAGGGCGCCGCTGGGCACACACAGGGCAGGCTGGGCCAGATCCCGAGAGAGGCCCCAAAGGACCCGAATCAAACCTGCCCACTTTCTTTTCCCAAATTCATGGGTCAGCGATATTGCTGCTGCTTGCAGAGCGGAGTGGTGGGTGGGAAGGGGTGGGAGGGAAAGGGCCCTCAAGGCCGCCTCAACCGTTTCCCAGGGGGAGAGGTGCAGGCCCCATTCCATCCATTCCCCTTTGGGGCCCGTGGGCAGTTAAGATTCCCCCACCACTGCAGTGGTTGAGAGTCCGCCTGCCAATGCAGGGTACACGGGTTCGGGCCCTGGTCCGGGAGGATTCCACGTGCCGCAGAGCAACTGGGCCCGTGAGCCACAACTGCTGAGCCTGCGCTCTGGAGCCTGCGAGCCACAGCGACTGAAGCCGAAGTGCCCTAGAGCCCGTGCTCTGCAACAGGAGAAGCCACGGCAATGAGAAGCCTGCGCACCACAGAAGAGTGGCCCCCGCTCGCCGCAACTAGAGAAAGTCTGTGCACAGCAATGAAGACCCAATGCAGCCAAAAATAAATAAATAAATAAATTTATAAAAAAAAAAAGATTCTCCCACCTCAGCCACCTCGGGATGGGCCAGAACCAGGCGTCATTGAACTCCACGGGCACACTAGATCCCAAACCAAGAATTCTCTCCCTAACCTTTCCATCCTAAATCAGGGCCAGTCTCAAAGTCCAAATTTGGCTCAGACGTTCTGCAAAGAGATAAAATGACAAAGATACTCCAAGTCAACACAGAAATGCCCTCTCTTGTGAATTTCCTAGGGTGAAATTCAAATCAAAAAATTAAATCCCTTTGCCCTTTTAGGTTAAAGTTGAAGGAAATAAAAACTAAAAGTCTTAAGGTCCGAGGATTGAAGCCCAAAGCCTTCCCTGAGAGCCCAGCCGTTAACTCCCTCTCCAAGCATCTGTGCCAGCCCAGCCACCCACATGGCTCCTGGAATGGGGTCCTTCTCCACACCTCAGGATTTCCGCTAGCCTGTAATGTGCCCCACTTTTAAAGGATTCAGAGTTACTAGGCCCTGCCCGCCACAGGGAAATCGACCCCTAGGGCAGCCTGCAGGCTGCTGGGTGTCCTCAGAATCCAGGCAGTACTCAGCCCCATGTGGAGCCCTCTTTCTGCTGGCTCAAGACCCAGGCAGGAATGGAAGGAGAGTGGACAGGAAAGAGGATGTCAGCCCCCGACCCCACCCCCTGAGGGTTGGACCTGGTGGAGGGTTAGCTTAGCCCAGTGGATGCTTTGGGCAGGGCAGGGAGCAACTTTGCGTTCCTTCTCCTCTCTGAGCGCATCTGTGCCACTCCTGCCTTCTCACAAATGGCTGTGGACAGCCCAGCTGTAGGGTCTCATTTACGATACCTTCTTTCTTCCAGAATGTTCAAAACCTCGTAATTTTCGGTTTCCCTCTGGGCACCCAGGGCTGAGCTCTGCCCAGTGTCCGTGTGTCCTGCCTGGAGCAGGTTCCTGAACCAAGGGCCAGGGAGCAGCCGCTCTGCCCGGTTGATTCTCAGGACACTGTGTGTCCTCCATCTGGGATACTCCGGCCTGACGTGGCAGCTGTTTCTGCAACCTCATTTCCCGTGCGAGGCTCTGTGCCCTGGGAGCATCCTGGCTGTGCTGCTGCCTGCGGCTCCAGGCTGAGCCCGTGCACTTGTGCTGTGTCGGCTCCTGGTGGTGGTTTCATCCCTTTTCCTGACCACACAGAGGGCTGGCCGTTTTTGTTGGATTCCAGTGCCTTCCCTCCTTTTAATACTTTCTCGCCCACACATTTTACTTTTTCTGACATATTCCTCTAGATTTTGTCTCTTGGGGTCTCCCAGGGCAAGAGAAAGAAAAACCAGTCAACTCCGGCTTGGTCACAGCATCCACTGTTGAAATAGCCCCAGGGCTCCACCCCAGAGACCCAAGAGTGATGATCCATCGGCCACTCTCCCCGCTGCCGGCCCCTCTTGTGCCTGGCTCTGCTCGCCTCTGGTGGGGCTCAGCTGAGCCTTCCTGAGACCAAATCCCTACATTTAAAAACATGTTCCCTTAGGGCCGTGTGATCCCGGACCCTACCCCCCAGTCTTCCCGTCCCAAAAGGCGTCCCCAGATCCTCTCAGTGTTTGGTGCTGATGTTCCATCCTTGCATTTGCCCGGATCCTCCACAGCCTCTGAGAACTGTTGGCTCGTGGATGGCTTCTGGGTCTCACAGAAGCCATCTTGGCCCTGAGCAGAGTTCTCCCAACTCTGTGTGGAGCAGCAGCCCCTCAGGAGTGTTCTGAGTCACCTGGCTCCCTGGGTGGCCTTGCCTTGTCCCCAGCCTTGCCCCCCCCGCCCCCCAGGGAGAGTTGCTGGCCCCTGCCTGAGTTGCTCTGTTGGCCTGGCCACTCCAGGGTCCCATCAGCCCCTTCATGTCTGTCCAGGCTGTCCCCTGACACCCCATGTTCTTTTGAGGGCATTCCTCTTATTTCCGCTGCTCCTGTTCTGGGAGTCAGACTAGGGTGTGTTTTTCAAACCACTCCAGGCCCTTCTGGCTCTCCTCAGTGAACCTGAGGCCTGGGCAGACGGCTCCCACTCACGCCTTTTGCTCTGCCTTGCTAGCTTTGGGGTATGCAGTGATCTCCTTGAGTTGTTTTTCTATCTCAACCCCTCTTCTCTGAAGGGCCCCGACTGCTGGCAGGCCAGGCAGGCTCTGTCTCCCAGCTCCAGGGATGAACCTCGGATGTACTTGGAGGTGCAGGAGGACCTTGCACAGCCCCAGTTCTGGCAGCAACTCATGGGCCACCACCTCCCTGTGACTGACCCAGGAGAACACCCACCCCCACCACCGCCCAGAAGGTGGAAGCTCTCTGGAGCCCAGGCGAGACCTCCTGCGGCTCACAAACCTGCCCACAAGGACCCTGCTTACATAGCAGGTGGAGATTCTCATCAGGACCACACAGCCTAGGCATCAGCTCACAGCACCAAAACCCCGTGGGGCACTGCCAAGGCCCCCAGGCAACCTCAGACTTCACATGGGCTACTGTGTGGGGTCACTGGTGTGGACTCAAAGCTTGACGCCAGTGTGCAACATGGTGGGTTTGCGGGGCCTGCGTATACCACTGCTTTCTTCCAATTCCGATTTCGGGGCCTCGGCCATAGCGTGGGAGTCACAGCGTGTGCCAGAAGGCAAGCAGCACACGGCAGAGCCCAGGAGGGCCTAGCCAGCAGGGCATGGGGGGCGGGGGTGGGAGGGCTACTTTAGGGATGGAAACACCTCACAGGGAAATGTGAGGCCATGAGGGGGAAGGGCCCCCCACCTCAGCAGGCCCACAGTGGCTGGAGGCTCAGGGAGCCTGGGGGTGGGCTGGAGAGCAGGCAGCCAGTGGGGCGGCCCTTGTCAGGGGCCAGAGTCGGGCAAGGTCTCAGAGGGGTGGGGGTCTGGGTAACACCTCTGCATGGTATGTGGGGATGGTCTTCCTTTCCCTTTCCTTTCATGTGTGTGTCTGTGTGTGTCTGTGTGTGTGTGTGTGTGGTCACTCGTACCGTGAAGTATAACATACACACAGAAAAATGCATAACAGTTTAACAAGTATAATACAGACACTTGTAAGAAGAGTGAGGGAAAAATATCACTGCAGCCCCCATCCACTCCTGTGTGCCCTGCCCCAGTCAGCTCCCACCCTCCCCGCCAGCCGGCCCACTGTCTTGATGGGAGGGGAATTGTTGCCTGACTTTCATCACAGTTTTACCACCTAGGCCTGGACCTCTGAACATTGTGGTTTGGGGCTCCCTGGTTTTGAACTGTAAATAAATGAAATCGATTCATCCATAGTGGTAAGTGTCCCTGTAGCTTGTTCATGGCCCTGCTGTGTTGTATTCCATGCCGTGAAGAGGCCACAATTTATTTATCCATTCTGTTCTTGATGGACATTTGGGTTGTTTCCAGATGTAGGTTTCTTCAGGGTCTATACCTGGAAGTGGGATTGTGGGCGGATTAATTACAGCCAACATGATGGGTAGCAGTAGCATCTTGTGGGGCCTTTAATTGCATTTCCCTGATCTCTTCTGAGGTTGAACACCTTTTCCATTTGGATATTCTGTTCTGTGAAGAGGCTTATAAAATCCTTTGCTAATTTTTATTGGGTTGTCTATTACCAATTTGTAGCAGTTTTTAATACGATCTGGATATGAAGCCTTTAGGTGTAGCATGTCTTTTGACTCTTCACGGTGTCTTACTAATATAAGGTCAAATGTGTCCATCTTTTCCTTAGTCATTTGTGCTTTGCGTACCTCATTTAAGAAGTCATTAAGATGATATTCTCTTCTATGATCTTTATGTCTTTAATTCACAGAGAACTGATTTTTGTGTGGGTATGAAATATAAGTCCAGTTTGCACTTTCTCCCCACGTGGTGGCCAGTGGCCCTGCACAGCTAATTGAATTGTGCTTCCTGTCACACAGATTTCCAAGCTGCCCTGATCCTATATCGGGTCCATATGTGTGTGTAGATGTCTGCCCCATGCTGATTTCACTTCACCTTATTTATGCAGCTTGCTAAGAAATCTTGACATTGGCAAGGAAGTCCTCCCACCTTGAAAATGTTTTGGCTCCTCTTGGCCCTTTGGAGTCTAATAAATGTTAGAATTTGGTTGTCAAATTCCACCCAAAATCTGTTGGAATTTCTATTGGGACAGTGTTGTATCAGAGGGCAGAATGGAGAGAAGGGAAGACCACACTGCCTCCAATCATGGACGTGTGTGGTCTCCCCACTTATGTGGTCCTTCATTGACCACCCCGCCCCCGGGTGTTAGTTTGCTCTGTAGAGATTGGCACCTCTTGGTTTCATTCCCTGATACAGAGCAATATACTCTTGAACTGTTCGTTTCCCTTACTCCCCACCAGCTTCTCTTCTCCGCACATATGAAGTCATGTTCTGTATGGTATCTGTAAAGTCATATTCTATTCTGGAAAATGTCTGTTTCTGCACCAGTCTTCACTGTATTCTAACTATTCTTTGTCTTGCTTGTCTGGTAAATATGGTATTGAAGTGACTCAACAGGGGCTTTAAATGTCAAACTTGTATGAATTTACACCCTTCGAGTCTTTCTTTGGCCTTTTTTATCCGCCCATGATCACCAGGGTCCTTATCCTTGTCTACACTTGAAATGCCGGTAGGGGGGCTAAAAAGCCTGAACTTGCTTCTCGGCTTTGTCACTGTGTTTTGTTCTGACTGGCGGCAACTCACCAAGGAATCAGCCCTTCACCGAAGGATTCATTCCTGGAAATGGGGCTCCCTTCCTGAACCCTTCTCAGAGCACAGCTCTCCTCGTGCTTTGCTGTTGGTGGTGTGGAGGGCTCTTTGCTGTGAGGTGTCCCTGGTATCATATCAGTCACTCAGTCTGAACAGCTGATCAAGCTGATGGGAGGCTTCTGTCACCTCTTACCTGGCTGCTTCCCTGGGGGCAGTGTCACCTGGGCGTCACAGCCCCATGTGCTGGTGGGCAGGGTCACTCACCTTCTTCTCTGAAGCCGTGCACTCAGCTCACCGGAAGGGGCCTAGTTCGGCCCCCGCCACTCCCAGTGCTGGAGTGGAAGTCTGGGCATTCACCAGAATTTAAAGAATAGTCGAAAGGCATGAAATCCAAAGGGTCTTTTCACTTCTTTCTGAACAAGAAGGAAATGGGCTTATTTTAGAATCAATATTATCCTCTGAATTATCAGAGCGCAAAAGAGGAGACTTGCTCCCTGAAGAGTTGGGTTCTCCCTAGGGAAATACTGGAAGGTTCTGACAGAGTCCACCTGATTTCCCCACCACGTTGCCTTTCTTTTTTTTTTTTTTGGCTGCACTGTGCGGCATGTGGGATCTTAGTTCCCCGACCAGGGATCGAACCCATGCCCCCTGCAGTGGGAGTGCGGAGTCTTAACCACTGGACCACCAAGGAAGTCCCCACATTGCTTTTTTGACTGGCCAGTTTTATCCTCAGGAAGGTCTAGGCTTACGTGTTAAAGTTAACAGTTCAGATGGGCATCGCCCCCCATCCCCTGCAGAGCTAGTGGTGGGAGGGAAGAAGCTCCTTAGGGAGCAGGGCACTGGTACCTACAAGAGGTCCTAATTCATAAGCTAAGTTGACAGTTTGGAATTTGGGGCAGCTCCTTTTTACTGCTAGCATCATCGATGTGGCCCGTGAGCGCTTCATCCAAGCAGTACTCGGGACACCTGAGGCCCTGGGGCCCAAACTGGGAAAACATTTGCAACTCATGGCAAAGGGTTAAATTCTCTGATATATAAAAAGCTCTAAAACAAAAAACAACCCAGTGGGAAAAATGGACTTGAGGATTTGACTTAGTTTCCAGAAAAGGAAAAGGTAATGGCTATTCACTAGAGGAAAAGACACTCCATCTCGGGAGAAGAAAAATGCAAATTAACACCTTCTGGGGAAAAGCCTTTCCCCACCAGGAAGCCCAAAGTCAAAACAGGTGGGGATGCCCCTGTGCCCAGTGGGTTGGTGCCCTACACCCCCTTCTAGGAGGGACATCTGGCCATATTAAAACAGCAACGATTTTGACTGACTAATCCTACTTCTAGGAACCTATCCTCCAAATATACCCACACACGCGTGGATGCCAACAGCGCAGAGCTAAGAGTGGAGGGATGGAAAGGGCTCGAACGCTCTCAATAGGGGCTGGCTGAGTAACCATGGCCGGTCCCAACAAGGGAATACTGGAGACTCTTCAGGTACTGAGATAGACTTTTAAGTAAAAAAAAAAAAAAAAAAAGTGCAACCTAGTGTAGAATATGCTACCATTTGTGGGGAAAAAAAAAAAGTTGGGGGAGGGGAGGGGGTGTTATATGTGCATAAAATAGCTCTAGAGGGATTTGAGAGAGGGCTGCCCGGTGGAGGGAGGAGGCAGGAGGGAGCTTTCTCTTTGGGGATCCTTGGAATGCTTTGAATTTGAGCCAGGTAAATATATTACCTATTAAAATGAGAGCAGAATTAGGAAAAGAAACCAGGTGGCAGGGGGCATGGTGGCAGAGACTTCCCATTTGTAGCTTTGGGATTTGGAGCCCTGTCTGGATGTTTGGGGCGTAGACCTATGAGAATATCGAGTCCAGACCCCACTGTCCCCAGATGGGGGCTGAGGCTCCAGTAGTGAGGGCACAGAGTCAATTTCTGAAAGCTGACCATTTTTGTCTCTTTTAGGTCAGCTTCAAACACAGAAGTGAGGTGTGCTCACTTCACTAGGAGGGGAAATCTGGGCAAATGGCTGGTGGGTTTGCAGTATGGCTGCCCCCCCCCCCACCGCCCCCATCTTCCAAGCCCATTCTGGAATTCTCC